TATCATTTGTTATCTTTTTGCAAGATAATTAATTATAATTTATGCAATAGCATTCCTAAATCTTTCAAAAATATTCCCTATATTGCCTATGCGACAGTCTATCTCTCGCTATGATGCGAACAGATATTTTCTTCAATGGTAGATTTTTTTAGTTCAGCTTAGTGGTTTGAAGAAATACACCTAACACAAACCGTGCATGTGTGTGTCCGGTTGTTAATACACGCCTACGTGCAGAAATGAAAATTTTCTTCTTTATTGTCGCAGATTTCCAGACGGTATAGTGGTTAGGGAAGCCTGACATGCGATACCGAAGGGCCTGAATTCGAATCCCATGGTTATAACCGTCCGTCCCTTCATAGGAGGCGATAGTGGCCCACCTATTAAGTGCCTCCATAATAAAGAGACTACCACATATGGCCTTGTATCGATTAATGGACTGTGTTGCACTGTAACTGTTCAGTCTGCCATTGGAAAAAAAGAAACAAATGTTGCAGATGTTTTCTTTTCTTGAACAGTGCAAAACACAGGACACTGTTTGAGCCCGTGTTTGAGGGCTGCTTTCCGTGAAACATGGATTTTGCTCTTGCGGTTTATATAGATTTAATTCTAAGAAAACAGCTGTCAAATTTTATTTTCTGCTAGAAATATTTTAAAATAAAAGAGTCTGATAGTGGGTTAAAGATTCTAACGCGATCAAAAGCTGGTATAAGTGTCTTTTGAAATCTTTGTAATTATTCTTTAAATTTTATGCAAATTGCACTGAATCTTGTTTGCTTCAATATCTCCACCATTTATTCTTCGGTGGGCTATTTTACTTAATAGTCAGTCAGATAGCCTTTTTATTTTTTTCAAAATCTATAGATTTTCATGTGTGAAATGCTTTGCTGTTGCAAATCTATAATAGGGAAGCCAGGGGGCTGGTTTTGACAGGAGTAAATAAAAACAAGCAACTTACGCAGTGGTTTTCAAAAAATTTTTTATCAGAATTTTCATTTATCACTATTCTTATGACGGATCCCTTTTAGAGATTAACGATCCGCTCCGGAAACTACTCACTTTAATGAATGAACGATTAGCGCTCAGACAAAAACGGAACGGCAGTTCTTTGACGGTTAACTGAGAGCTGTTGCAGCGGAGCTTTCCTCTTTAATGTAAATATTAGCATTCTTTCCTTTATTATTTACTGGAAACGTCTCTGACCTGGATTTTAGGTGTGTTATGCATGTATATATGTGTGTGCATTGGGTTTGCTTCTGTTCCATCTAGTATTTAAAAAACAAGACATTAAATAAACCGTTTCATCTCAGCGAAACTTGTCTACCCTTGTTTTCAGATTGTTGTAGCTTATTTTTCCCATCTGGCATGGCGAGGATCTGTTTAAAGCAGCGATTCTCAGGCGATGGTACGCAAGAGAAAAATAGATGATACGTAAAGAAGCAAAGTATTTTTAACTATTAAATTCAAAAATTAAATATCCCAACAACCTGTTTAGGTTTAGGTCTAACACTCGTACATTTATGCGATCTGAGCGATGTTCAAAGCCAGTTGTCGCATCTATTTTCAAAAGCATTCTTTTAGCCATAGCCTTAACAACATTTATCCTAAATTATGTTTTAAAATGAATAATAGAAATGGATGTTGTATTTAATGAGAAATAAAAAAAAAAGTTCCTGTGAAAAGATAATATTATCTTATTAATTTATATAAAAGGGGTGATTTATTCTCATGTCTACATTTTATGTCGCCACCAATTCCGGCATCATATTGCTCTATTTTCAATCAGAATAATTTTACACTTCGATTTGCAGTCTCTAACAGCAGTTATTTTGTCTTCTTGTTGCTTTGTGTTCCTTACTTTTCTATACGTGATTTGAGAATATCGTTGTTTATTTCTGAATATATTGTGCATTTAAATATTTGTGAAAACATATTAAAACAAAATTAGATTTTCAAAATGGAGGAATGGCCAGGATGGACAAAGAGGAAAAGTGATGATTCACAGGTGATGGATACAGGACAATCTACTAGCAGTACTATTATAAAATACTTCTTTCCAGCTTCTTAGAGAGTCCCCGGAAGTCATGACGAAAGTGAGAGATCCTTAAATGAATTTCCCGGGGAAAATCACAGAAATAAATTTTATAGAATGTTTTGGAATTCAAGTATTATAACTTAAATTTGGATAATTAAAATGGTAACCAATTTTTAATCTAGTGTTTTTTTACGTCATATTTAATACAAATAGCCAATAGGTTGTGCAAATGGCAAAATATATTTTTTTAATGTTTCAAGTGAGAAACTGAAAAATACTCATTGTAAAATGTAGTACAGGTACTAAAAATGTTTTAAATGTTTTATTTATCTGGTACGAGATAGTCAGAAGGTTGAGAAACAAACTGCTGGTTAAATTATGTAGATTATATGAACTAGTTCCTCGGACTTCCAGCTGTCAGCGCTCGACGCTAATCGCAGATCTGGGTCCGTCGGAGTCGTGAGTATTCCCTCTTTCATCGTTCTTGCATAGCCGCAAATCTGGGTCCTCCGGAATGTTAACTATTTGTTCTTTTCGCTTCCTCGGAGCTATTACGTTGAGTTTCATTTCGATTCTTTAAACACTGTGTCGCAGAATAGCTATCTGTATTAGGTATTACATTTCTTATTCAATATTACTGTAATATTTATGTAAAATAATAAATTATGCTTTTATTTATTTACTTATTTTAGTAATATCTTTCGAACAAGAGCTGTGAATTTCTCTTCAATCTTCTTAAGAATTGTCATATAGTATTTATAAATATAAATTCTTCCATCTAATGTATTTTTTCAACGTTGCGAAACAAAATGGAGACCCCCACTGTATAGAAGAACCTTAGCAATATTGGTTTCTTTTTGTCAAATCAGATAAAAGGAAAGAGGAAATCGCCGGTACTGTCAGCAGACAAGTTCCTCTTCTCTGGGATCTGCCTCCTATCTAAAAATTTATTTTCCGACTGTACTTTGTAGTAGCAACAAAAGATCAATTACATTAATAAAATAATGTAATCTCTAACATAAGTGAGTTTAGTTTTCATTATTTTTTACTTTTACCACTTTTTTATTCCAGAGTTTTATTGTAGTGCTATGTAGAAAGGTTTTTTTAGAGAATCTTAAAAGTACAGTTGAAAAAAATCAGCCCAGGAAGTGAGCGGTTTGGTTGAGTTGATTCCTCCTTGTTCATTTCTCTCTGCTCTGAATAACAACGAAATGTCACGATCAAAGAAAAGATAAGAAATTTCTTAGGACAAGCTGTCTGCAGTAAACTGATACAATGCATTTGGGGAAACTGCACCTGCTACTGCATATGTTTTAGGAAGAGGGAAGAAAACAAGATTACAATCTCTGCCGTTTTCGGGCGGTTCTGGTTGTTTCAATGCAGGGCCGTGTGGGGCGAATTGGATGTGAAGGAGTTAAAGGAGAGGATTTATCCATCTCTAGTTCTTTTACGCAAGTCCAGTCAATACCCCGCTGAATCGAATACTGAGAGCATTTTGTTTCACCATTAACTACCTATAAATTTTTCGTAAATTTTTGTTTAAGGTAAGATAATTGATTTTTGATTTTTCCTAAAAATGTTTTATCTATTTATTTTTCTATACATTAAATTATAGAATGGTGTTTTAATTTCTTCTATTAATAGTAATATTTTTTATACATGTAGAAGCGCTAAGTTTCGCAGTCATCAGAGGGCCCTACACGACACGCAGAACATTACTTTCTTACCTGAAAGACGATGCCAACGGCAAGAGAGACTAGTCGAACCACATGAATGTGGCGACTATTGATTTTTGTTTTGATTCCGTTAGTGCAAAAAGGCGCCAATTAACTGTACTTAAACATCAAATGATGCAAATTTGTATTTAACTAGCCCGAGGAGGCGAGAAACAACTGCCTTATTTTACTCTAACCTGCTGTAGTTACTAAAAGTTCTTGGGTGAAAAGAAGAATCCTCATTCTTTACCGAGTGACACTATTTAATTTTTCCACATAAATATTTAAATTAATTCCTAACCATACGATGGGGCAAGTTGTAACATATTGCAGCTTGCGCCGAGATGTCCATTCATGTAGTTTAATATTTTTTTCTTTAAATAATAATTTAATTCTTTCTTCTTTAAATATCCGCATTCAGATTATTTAAATTACTTTATTCTATATAGTTTTCTTTTCCAAATTAGAAAAATTGATTTTTCACCATCAAAGGGAAGACCTCTTTTTAAGTTTTCACCTCGGAAATAGTCTAACAGTGGCCGATGCAAAAGGAATTCTGCCGTTGTAACTGATACACCCAAAACGGAAACGTTGGTAAAAGAAAAATGAATAATAATAATAATAATAATAATAAAAGATTAAAAAAACTCAACATAAATAAAGAAAGAAAGAAAGACATAAAATGAGGAAAAGGAGGAATTTGAGCTCAGATACAAAGTCTGAAACAGATAAACGGTTATGCTCAACTTAGTGAGTTGACTATACAGCCAGCGCTTCTGACGAATAAGAACGGGTGTAATGCTTAATTTGTAGAATGTGACTTTAATGTTGATTGGTTAAATAATTTAACTTTTGCTTGCTATTAACCAATTGACATCATTCATTGTCATTATACTAAGTAATAATAATCATCAAAAGTTAACTGTTATTCTTTGTTTCAAGTCTGTCAGAATTTCCCCAAGTAACTACTACACATTAATATAATATACTACATATTTTTATACTATAACATAAAGCAATTATAGTTGCGGAATTATATAAATAAATTTAGAAATACAAAAAAATTTCCAAAAAGTATTAAAAACTGTCTCTGCGTCCGCTACATGCACTTCGTTATTATTGCTTGTTTGTGTTGGCTTAGTAGAAAAACTCTTACGGAAAAGAGCAATAAATATTATTTCAATGACAAACAATAAATTTAAAAAACTTCTCGTTTATCCGAAAAACGAAAATGGACATTTAAGATATATCATTCCTTTTATTAAATATTTCATCTTAATAATTTGTACATAAAATTTACACATAATTAGAACTGAGGTAACGAGTCCTCTTTTCTAACACTTTATGCATAATCCAAAAAATCACAATACATTTTCCCATCAGTCTTTAAGTTGTAGTCGTTTAAGCAGTAACGAGTGTAATCTGAGTTGAATAGTATCTTTCTCCACATGTCTTACGTGTATTCTAATTTTTATATTGCACAGGTTTTCCATCGTAAGACACTGCTTCGATGCATAAATAACGTAATTAAACAACTCAAGATTTTGCTCATTGAGTAGCTGCGAACTTCTCAACAGCTCGATGACTGTTTCCCAATTTTGGGCCCTTAAATTAGCACCGCAAATTATGAGTAAATCAACCAATCTTCGGTCTACCATATATACACGCATAGAACATTGGAGTAAAACCCTCTACATCATGTTTGTCTATGTCATTCCCAGAAATCAGTAATTTGTGGAGAGCTGTTCGACCGTCGGAAACAGCAGCATTAACATCACATCCACGGTCTATCAACAGCATACATAAATTTCTGTATGAACAATTTTGTCCTGTATTTGAATTTTCTTCGGAAGCAGACATTTCTATAGCAGCTATCAGTGCAGTTTTCCCAAAAATGTGGGTATGGTTGATCTGCGAAAGACAGAGGACATAAGAAATCATATAATTCAAAATATTTGAATAACAAGAGTTAAGAAAAAACTATCCCAAGCAGTTAGTGAACCGTAAATTCACACTTAAACACTCACACAGAAAACTAATCCCTTCACCTGAATGAATGTCTAAAGATGCAAAAAATAAATAAAAGAATGTCTAAAGATTAAAATTACTTAATCCATCATTGAATTAAGTAAAATACTGAGGCAACATGTCCCGTACTCATCATTATGAGCATGATTTTTTATAAGAAATCCCGTATATATAAATTATTGACAAAATTTCCTACCTTTTTGTCCAAACTTATTACTTTTTGTCTATAATTTTATATATATATATATATATATATATTATAGGCAAAAAAGTAATAAATTTAGTTAAATTGGTTGTAAATTTATTACTAGATTTATTACTTTTTTCATCATTAATTAATATTTCAGCAGCATTTTGTGTGGAAATGAATTGGGATATCTTTGTTATAAAAATTTCTATGATACTATACATACATATGTATATACTTGTGTGTGTAAGACATAGAACATGACGAAAAGTTATTAACAAATTAAATTTAAATGAAACAAATTGAAATAGTCCTTTAAAGTTCTCATTGTAATCCTAAACAACTCCCTTCAGTATATCTACAGTGAATCATTGAAGTCTACAATGAGTCTTTTCCTGCAGTTTCTCAGCATTTCTGTAAACGTTTGCCCAATCGTTGTCCAAAACTCAAACAACTCGCTTGCTTACTGCAAAGTCTCTCTCTTCACAGTACTTCTTTTTTCTACTAACTGAGACGTAAGCTGCATATACAAAACTGTGGAGTGCGTACATTTAGATTACAATGATATGGGTTGTCATTGCCTACTTCGCTGATGTTTTCATGCTAAATTTTTATATTTCATAATGGCATACACATAAGTTTAACTCATTCACCAAACACGTAAATCTCTAATTGAGCCCACTTTTGTTCTTACGTGTACTGTATCTTCTATTTTCTTTAATATATTGTTCAGCCTAATTTCAAAAGGTCTTATGATCAAGCTGAAAAGTCACTAAACATTGGTAGTTCGACCCGAGTTTCTAATCCCAGAAATTTCCTAAGACTTTCTTTTTTTATACTTATTTACTGTGTAAAAATGTCTTATAAAAATTTCAGTTCATGAAGCGAAAATATTTTAAAATATATTCTTTAAAAATATTGCAAAAATTTTCATCTTCACCTTAGCATATCTTTTTACAAATCCCTTTAATAAGGAAAGAAATCAACTAGGATTCGATGATTGATACCTTGCCCCATATTATACATAACTTTTTCCAAAGGCATAGAGTTTATATGGATATCAATAACTTAAGGATTATTTCTCCCTCTAATTTTTTTAACATGTTTATTCCAGAATTTTCTTTACACACTGTAGCGTTTAACTTTATGAGTTTTCTAAAATCATTCAATTTGTGTAGTTATGGTAACTTTGCATACCTTCTAACAAGTAGTTATATTTTTAACCACTGTATTTTAATTAATGTTGACTATGAGTGTACAATTATTCACTTGTTTCACGAGTGCAAATATTTATTTTGTACGCAAATCTACGTAAAATAGCAATAAAGCTTGAGTTATGCGGAGCTCCTGATCGATTGCTTGTTTCAGATTGAATGAAATTAAGCTTAATGTTACTGTTAATTAGCTTGTTATTAATTTAATTGTACGTTTCTAATTAATTATATGTTCAGATATTTCCAAGCATATTACACAAACTTTTGCATACCCAATTTTTAGTTTTTAGGTTATTAGCTTTTATTTATTGAGAGTACTGATTGATTATATTAATTTGGAGTACTGTTTATCTAATTCTTTTGTTCTAGATAAATTTTAGTAAAAACGTCTTGGCATAACAATTTAAATTTATTTGTAATTGATAAGTCAGTGTTCCAAACGCATAGTAATGTTGTTACAATAGATTTCATGCTAAGCTTTTTTTAAATTTAACTATTAATTTCTGCAAACGTTTACATGATAACTAATTAACGAAATATATTTTTAACACACTTTGATACGGAATAATCTGTTGCACGCCAGTGAATTATAATAAATTTTCCGGTTTAGTTCAGACATCTTGACTATTATTGATGTAATTTATAAAAAATATAATTGGTATGCTGTATAATTATTTAATTTATGATATTATTATAATACTCTTTGCTCTAATATTGTTATTAATGAAAGATGTTTGTAATGCTAATTTGTATGTTTACAAAAACTTTTATTTTCTTCGTTAGCTCTCCCATTTATTACTGTCATTCAAGTAATTAGCCTGATTGTTAGATATTCTTTACTTGTTCTTCTGATTACTGATATGTAATTATATTTCTTTATTTTTATTTTCCTCTTGGGTAAAACTGACTTCGAAAAGTTAAATTGTAAGCCTGTAGGCAACGGGAGACAGAAATTTTGATTCGCGCAGTTGGACTATAAGCAGAGGTGTACTCCAACTGCGCTGATGAAAATCCCCCCTTGTCCTGCTATAGTCCGACTGCGCCGATCAAAATTTCTTTCCCCCGTTGCCTACAAGGTTGCAATTTTATTTTTCGAAGCCAACTGTAGCCAAGAGGAAAATAAAAAGAAATATATTTTTTATAAATGAATAGTGGATTTGTTGCCAATCTAGAGGAACTAAGCTTCGGCAACAACAGAGATAACGCCTTCTTTTATTATTATTGCGAATTAAGTCATGCTTAATCCTTTCTGGAATTTATTCCACGAAATAAGTGTTTAAGATTTACTTCGTAATTTTTAATACAGATATTTTGACTTTTTATGTATTTTTGCCTTGTCGTGAAGTAAGAACTGAATTAATTGATGAGAAACACTGAATTGTCTGTGAAAAATCGTTTCTTTTTTGTTTGTTTAATTTCTTTTATACATCGCTTTAGATTTACTTTTGTTAATTGCTGTGTAACACAAAAGAAATTTTCAGAGGACTTGCAGAAGGTTTCGTAATACTCTTGCAGGCAATAAATTCATCTTTGTAACAACATGTGGGGCTACAAGGCATTCTTCATGAGCACAACTATTGGCTCTGACCTTTTTCACCCCTACAATCGGAAGTCAGTGTATATTCCTTAAATAGCTAAATTTTCAATCAGTTCCGAACGATTCTTTGACTACCTTGGTAAAAAATATATTTGCTTCTGCTATAAATTCAACCTTGAATTAAAATTGGCGTTATTTAAGCATGTTTACATATGATGGGGTTTATTCACAGTCAGAGAGGAAAAATTCTCGTTCTTTTTCAGGACATAAATTTTATAAGGACTGTGGAAAAGCAGAGTACCAAAAATGGCGTTGTACAAGAAAAAAATGCAAAGCAGCACTTTATCTTAATAAGACAAATAACGTGTTATCAAAATCTTATCTGTGTCACAATCATGAGCGTTGCAAGACTATTTCTAGACAAGTTGTTTCAAACGGTGTTAAACAGAAAGCAGCGGAAGATACATCTGAAAAACCTCAGAAATTAATCAGGAAAGAATTGACTAGTGTTGCAGCTCATCATTCAGATATTGTTAGCAGCCATGATGTTCACTGTATTCGGAGAAATATGTACCGACAGAGAAGGAAAGTCCTACCTTCACTTCCAAAATGTATTTCTGATGTGCATTCTGCATTAAATGTAATGCAAGTGATATCTGATATCTTATCAACATGAAAATCTTCTTCAGATTAATGACGATAAAAATAATATAGTTTGTTTTTTTAACAGATTCAAATTTAAGGATCTTATGCGACAAAAAAAAGTTTTTTGTTGATGGCACTTTCACATTTTGCCCAAAATTTTTCTTTCAGATGTTTACGTTTCATACAGTGGAAAATGGACATTATATCCCACTTGTATTTTTTTTTTTTTTTGCTACCAGGAAAGTCTACGGCAATATACGAAACTATGTTTCAAAAACTGAAAGAACTCTGTTCTAACTTGCATTTGAATTTTCAGCCAGAAATTGTGGTGGCAGATTTTGAATATGCAATCCATGAAGCTGTGAGAAAAATGTGGCCTGAATGTTCTATTACAGGATGTAGATTCCACTTGACTCAAGCTTGGTGGCGAAAACTTCAACAGTGCGGATTGCAGCAACAATAATATCGGAATGGTAATTCAGAAATTGGCAGATGGCTTCGACTGGTATTTGGATTACCCTTTTTGGATGCTGCTGACTGAAGTTTCGGATAGCTTCGTTGAAGATCTGATGTCAGAGCAACCACGGGATGCAAACATCACACGCTTTACTGATTACATAACCGAGAACTACCTACCTAGATGAGGATGCAAAATTTTCCCCCGATACTTTGGGCTTGCGCTGATATTTCATCGGAAAGAACAACTAATGCATGTGAAGCATTTCATTCAAAATTCAGAGCGAGCGAATTTTTATCATTCCCATCCTAATATATTTGTCTTCACAGATGTAATTCGTCAAATTCAGATAGATATATACGCTGCAATAAATGGTGTGAAGCAGCATAAAAAAATAACAAACAGGAATTACGCAATTACGCAAACAGGAAGGAAAGAATCGAGGATTTACTTAACAAGCGCAGGTATGGAATGATTTCACGATTAGAATTCCTAAGACGTGTTTCATGTTACCCAAAAATTGTAAGTTAATTATTGCAATCCATTGTATTCAAACAAATTAATGTGAAATATCATATAAATATAATAATTTTAAATTACAAAAGTATTGAGAAAAATATTTAAAAACAGGTTAGCATGATAAAGAATAAACTTAAAGAAAATGCTAAAGTATGAATAAAATAAATAAATAAGTATAAAATATTAAATCATGAAAACGATTTCTAGAGTAAATTTCTTAGGGGTTGAAATTTAAAAAATACAGTAGAAATGAGAAGAGAATTTAGATCTCTTTCATATCATAAGTTTATTAAGCATTATATACCCTACACGGAGCACGCATTCCTTGAAACTGAAATACGGACATAGCGGCACAGAAAAATATTTTTTGAAAAGAACTATGTAGTAATGCATAAATGAAAGAAATTAAATAAAAAAAAACTATCAAAGAAAATATATAAGAATTATTACATTATTACATCAAACACTCTCTTGACCGCAAGTGATAGAATTTTGTTTTCTCGTTTATCTTTCAGCAAAGCTTATACAATTAAATAATCACTTTCATTTTCATTCGCGTAAAATTATAAACAAATGTAAATTATTATACAAAACGCATAAGTTAAAGTTAAACACTACAGTGTGAAAGGAAAATTCTGGAATAAAAATGTTAAGAAAATTAGATGAGAAATAATCCATAATTTATTGATATCCATATAAACTCTATGCTTTTGGAAAAAATTTACACATAATTTGCACTGAGGTATCAATCACCGAAACCAAGTTAATTTCTTTTCCTTACTTTTTCTTATCAGAGGGATTTGTAAAAAGATACGCTAAGGTGAAAAATTTTGCAATATTTTTAAAGAATAAATTTTAAAAAGTATTTTTATTTCTTACTTCACGAACTGAAATTTTTACTATACATTTTTACACAGTAAATAAAGTACAAAAAAAAAGAAGAGCTAGGGGATCACTGGGACTAGAAACTCGGGTCGAACTACCAATGTTTAGTGACTTTTCCGCTTGATCATAAGACCTTTTGAAATTAGGCTGAACAATATATTAAAGAAAATAGAAGATACAGCACACGTAAGAACAAAAGTGGGCTGAATTAGAGATTTACATGTTTAATGAATGAAGTTAAACTTACCTGTATGCCATTATGAAATATTAGGAAGTAGCATAAAAGCATGAGTGAAGAAGGCAATGGCAATCTAAATCTAAATCATTAATCTAAATGTATAACATTATCAGTATCTGCTATTAATTTCAATACTGCTGAAAAAATTATAAATGAATTATATTATAAATCGTACATGAACTCGTTGCATTATAAATTACAACAGTTAGAAATATTATTAGCGTGATTTAGCGACCATCTTTGTTAACAAATAATTTCAAGTAACTAATTTACAAATACAAATAATTCATTCAGCCTGAAACTAGGTTAGAAAATAAGCTACATGCTGAAGATTAAGCTTTGCCAAGGTGTTAGAAACATCTTCTGTTAACTAGAGTTATGATGAGCAAGAATTTGTAAAAATTATCATTTAAATATAAATTGGCATAAATACAATACAAAGTATATAAATTTTACATACATGAAAACTTGAGTACAGTGCAACAATATGTGAAAAAGGAATGGATTAAAAGGGAACTGAAAATCCCAGGATATGAATATAAGGGAGTTTGATTTTTTTTTTTTTTTTTTTTTTTTTTTTTTTTTTTTTTTTTTTTTTTTTTGGTTAATCATGAAAATTCTGATGACGCTCATAATTATCAATTTATTAATTAAATGTGTATTAGAAATTAAATGTATGCCAAAGTACATCAGGTGGAAAACAGAATAAATATTTAAACGTTTCTAGTATTAAAATATGGAATTTGTAACAAAGTTAAATAACCTTAAAATAACTTCAATGATTAAAAATGGAAAGCTTAATACGGGAATATATTGCAATAATATTAGTGTGAATTTAGAACGACTTAAGAAGTCCAATTTTTAGATTTAATAAAGATAATTTTTATAATTAAATTAGAACTGTTTACCTAAAATGGTAAATTTGAAAGTTAAAACCATTCTGCTATCTAAGAAGATTTGTTAATATTTATCTAGACAAGAAACTTATTTAAGGTGAGCTACAAATCCGATATTTGATACGTTGATTATGTATCAGTTTTGTGTATGTCATTAATCTATCAATTTTACTATTCAAAACTGATATATATATATATATATATATATCAGCGACTAAAATCTACAATTTGGAAAGTTTTTAATTCTTACAGAGAATAAAAAAGATCTGGCTCATCATTCCTTTAAGCATCATAAAACTTTAAAATGAGTGTAAAAGAAATTTATTTTTTAGCACACGCCAGACTTTAAATTAATATTTGTTTTACATGCACAATTTTTACAATATTGATAAAGGAAAATAAAGGCTTGCGATCTCAATAGAATGTTCCATTAATGGCGATAAACGACTTTTTGTAGCACCAATCTTCTTGGAAAGAAATGGGGGACAGGTAACGTGGCGCAGTTCGTGGATTAGAAAAGAGGGGGACGGGGATTTTCGATCAAATTTGGCGCAGTTCGTACCCTACCATAAGCAGGACGGGGAGAGGATTTTCATACGCTCAATTGGAGCCCACCCGTTCTATGTACATTTGAAAAGAAAATATATAAATATATTTCAGTATAAGTGAAATCAATTCTCTCTTTCCAAGCATAATCCAATTCATGAATATTTTCTTTTTTGTTGTTGTTAAACTACGAAACAAAAAATATTGACACTTCAGGTTAATACGCATGAGGTCACGACTTAAATTTAATGTGATATAACAACTTTTACTCAATATCAATACAAGAAATAACGTGAAAATAACATATCGTGCCAATTATCCTAACCCGAAACAAAATTTAGGAGACATTTTAAAAGTATAGATGACAGATTTACTTCTAAAATTAGTTACATTAATTTCTACAGTTTCTTTTAAATATAAATTTCGTGAACTACTGAAATTCGTGCTAGAAAAATAAGATTATATATTTATTTAGAAAATTTGTTTTTAATTCATTTCTAAGAAAAAACTGGCTAAAGTTGCTTTCATTATCATTAAATTTATATGTCAAAATGTAAATTTTGAATTGTGTAGTGACCTGAGAAAAATATATATTTTGTTTAAAAATTAATACTAAATATTTTTCATTTTAAACACGGTTTTGATTCTGTTACTTACGTTTGCACCGGCGTCTAAAAGAAGAGATGCAATTGGTGTTGCGTTTTCTGCAACGTTAAATGCAGCATTTAATAGAGGAACATATCGCAGGTCTTCATGAACAACCACACTACTGCCTTTTTGCAAGAGGTATTGAATAACTTCTGGACAACAATATCTACAAGCTTCGTCCAAGGGAGTCTGTCCAAGATTGCTGTGCAGGTCAAGAAGATATGCTGGCGAGTTCTCAGTTAATGACTTTACAGTTTCTGAAAAAAATTGCATACATTAGCTTTAATCATATAACAAATTCAAAAACATTAAAAATATCATCAATATTAATATCACATGTGAATTGGGTTCCTTTTTATGGAGTAGCAACATAAAATTTAGAAACATTTTATGCATTAGCCTCAACTTGTTTGGAGAGGAATTGCCAAGTAAGTGCACCTTTCGTAAAAAAAGGGGGCATACTATTCTATATTTCAAGTTCTACGTTTGCCGAATCACGAAATTAAACTTACTTTTTCCATGTCTCGAAACTTTGATATGTAGCATTGTTCTAACATAGGTATAAAATCGTACATTTTCTGAAATGACATACCGAATTTTTTCCATATTTCGATTCTACGATTCAGATTATGCCAAAGTGCCAAGTTTTGTAAAATAATCACACGAACAGTTTTTAAAAAATTAGCTCTCACTGTTTCAGCAGCGCAATTTTAATTGAAATTTCTATGTATTTATTAATATCTCTTTTTTGATTAAGCCTATTTGATTCTTTTTCACAGTTCGAGATTTAGGTTCAATCCAAATAAAATTCGCAGCTATTTTCTGATTTGTTTTTGAAATTTGTATTTTGGAGTAATTAAAAAAATTTTCAAAACAATTTTTCAATTATAATCCATCAAATTTTTGTCATCATTTTAAAGTAGATGCATTTCTAGACATACCTGCAGAAAATTGGTTTTTAATTCAAAATTTCCAAAGATATACGAGAATTTATACATTGTTACGTTTTGAAATGATGCATATTTGTAATAATATCAAATGTGATTTACGCACTTTGTTAAAATTATTTGAAAGTAAGAACGATATATCTCTTTTTACGCTCGCGCATAAAGAAAAAAGGGGATAGGAAAATATGTTGCTATAAATTATGAATTTCGCAAAGTAAATTATTCTTGGCGTAAACTGAAAAAAAGTGTGCCAAGATAAATTTTTAAATTTCTCGGTAAGTTTCTCACCAAATTAAAAAAAATTTGAAATTTGGGCATGATATGAGCCGTAGAATCAAAATATGTCGGCATGGTTTTTAACAAAAAGTCCGATTTTGAGTCAAAATACCTAAGTTAAACTATGCTATATGAAATCTAATATATATCCTCAGTCACGCTTTCGAGACATGAAAAATGCAAGTTAACTTTCGTCAATAGGTCTTTAGAATGCGAAATATAAAAATGTCCTTTTTTGTGCAAGGTGTACGTCTTCGCCCCTTTATAGAAGAGAGAAAATTCATAAGAAATTAATTTCACTCATAAGATTATAAAATTTGAAGAGTTTTCGTAAAAATTACAAAAAAATAGTACTTATCAAGAATGAACAAGAAATCTGTACGTCTAAATCATTCTTCGGCGTTCTTGAAGGTTGAATTTTCGTCACAGCACGTGAAGCACAGCCTTAAGGTTAAGGCTAAGACCAAAACCCAATATATTCCCTATTTTCAATGCAATCTGATAGGATTTTGATGAAAACTCCTGTTTTGAAAGCTTTAAACTCGGTAACTCAGGGAAAACAAAAATTTCGTTATGGAACGACCAATTGTTCCTTACAGTTTACACTGCAGTTTGTGAGGCTCTTGAATAAACCATGTGGTTTGAATTCCATATTCAGCCAATATAGTACTTCCAAATGGCAAATGTGTAAAACAGATACAAACATCAAATAAAAAAATTAAGGGGGAGGTTTTGGATAAAATTTTAGATTTAAAGGACCAAATTCATTTCCAAAGAACTTAAATACTGTTAAAGGAAGAAAGGAACGGAAATCCATATGCCGCTTACATCAACGTGTCTATATAGTTGAAGAACATCATTTCCAAAGGTTTTTGAAAGATGTGTAGATATCACTTAATTCGGATAATTAAGAGAAATGCCATATGTTTTCACACATGTATCTACTGACGGGAGCCTTATTTGCTCAAATTCCAAAAATCGTGTTTAAAGATCATAATTTTCCAAATATATGTTATGTATTTTGTACATAGATAGATAATTTTAGTAAAATTATGCGTAAAAATTGTTGTATTTTTCTGTATAACGTAGCATGAAAAGCTGAGGGAGCAAATGTTCTGCTGCAAAAAGAAGAATACAAGGGCAAGTATCACTGAGTAAATGGCTGTCTCACCAATTTGGCGAGAAATCGCCAAAAGTTGCCAAACTTGTTAATCGTTTGGCTACATTGTGTTCCATCCTTGTATAATTGTAATCGGTATTGTAGCTGAATAACTGTAATTGATACTCTGCATAACCGTAACCGTAACCGTATTTGGCCCTCATATTCCTTGCAGTAATTTCGAGAAGCAGAAAGTACTGGAAATACCTCGGTGGTCGGGTGAAACGTATATAGACCGGAGAAAGCATCTGCTCTCAGTTGTTGCAGTTGTTAGCTTGGAGCGACTTTGGAGAGTTTCGCCTTTTAGATGGGTTTAGCATTCTGTTGTGTTTAACGTACCTAGTAGTTTCAAGTGTAACTACAGATTGTGCTCTGGGATGTTGTGAAGAGCTGTACCAGTATTTTTGTGTAAACTTTCAGAACTCTGAAGTCTTTCTTTTTATATAATGAAGTTTATTAACCTATCATGGGACTTGTGTGCATTCAGTGTATTACGAAACCCTGCACACACAACACTATTCATACTGCGTTTTTTCCCCTGTTTACACCTGTAATAACTTACTTACATCTTTTTTTATCGGTGGTTCTTGTGTTCTATTGGCCAAACAAAGACACTTTCCTTTAACTAAATCTATTTAATAAAGAGAAGACTATGTACAAATATTATATAGCACAGATTACAGAGTATCTAGTTTATATACTTCTCTCAACCACTCTCATCAACTTCTCAAACCTCTCTGCTGAAAACTCTTAATTAGCTAAACATACGGGCGGCGCAGCGCCCTCTACCTCTTCTTTTCTACATCACTCGCCACCTGTACTCTTTAATAAGAGTATACAAACTTACTTACATAACAATATCAACATTAATTAATAATGGATTAATACTAAATAGTACGACATATACAAATGAATAATATAAAAGAATAATCTATACTCGTATATATTAAAGCCACAAATGAACATAATAATTAATAATATAATAAAAACTCAATAATATCAAAAGTTCTAAATTAAATCTCGAAAGGATATAACATCTGGATCGATCTTCTGAATTGTCCTTTGGGCGTGCAAACAAGGCACGCTCGAACATGTCCATCTCTTCCTATAATCACATTTTCAATTACACCCATGTCCCAAAGTAGTTTGGATTGTTTTGGTCCTTCTACCAACACAACGTCTCCAGTTTTAATGTTCCGCTTAGTTTTAGGATTAGCAAAGTTATGCGCATTTCTAAGATGGAGTAAATATTGTTCTTTCTACTTGATCCATGTTAATTTTAATAGCTTAGATTGGTAACGCTTCCTCCTAGTTAAAGTCTCTTTGTCAGATATCTTATTAAAAATTTCCAAGAAATGCTCGGGAAAGTTAAATGTACCACGTTCTGGCAATAAAAACTGTGAAGGTGTGAGCGGGCGAGGTTCACCCAGCTCGTTGCTCTCGTATGTTAAAGGTCTATTATTTAGCACACACTCGAGTTCAGTTAATATTGTAGAGAGCTCTTCGAAAGTCAGTAATGCTCTCCCTAAGATTTTCTTCAGAGGTTCCTTGATGTTTCTCATCAAACGCTCCCAGAACCCTCCTCACCATGGGGAACGCTCAGGTATGAATTTCCATGTTACCTCTTTGGATGTCAAGAAATCACTCACACTTGGATCTGCTTTGATTCTTTTAAATCCTTTAATTATTTCACATGTGCTGCGGAAATTCTTGGCATTATCTGAATAAATCACTTTGCAGCTCCCCCTTCTTGCTAAAAAACGTCGTAATGAAAAAATGAAACTTTTTGCTGACATATCTGAAACCACTTCAATGTGTACAGCACGAGTGACGGCGCATGTAAATAAGGCTATTTACACCTTTTTGTGGTTATCCGCTTTTTCTCTAATAGTAACTGCTCCCGTTAAGTCGATGCCTACAACTGTGAAAGGATTACTTTGGACTACACGATCTCTGGGTAACTGACCCGTTAACTGTTTGGCGGACTTCACTGCGAATTTTTTACACACCAGGCAAGCGCTAATAACTTTCTTTACTACTTGTCTTCCTTTAGGTATCCAAAATTTATTCCTGACTTTGGACAATGTTGCCATGACTCCTGAATGGAATACTTTTATGTGTTCACTAAATATCACTAGTTCGGTGAACTTCGTTTTGGGCAGAATAATGGGATGTTTTTCGTCATCTTTTAATTCTGCTTGTTCCAAACGACCTCTGACACGCAAAATACCTCTACTGTCCATATATGGTGCTAAACTGTAAAGCTTAGAATCTGGTGTTATTAGATTATTCCTCTCTAATTGTTGAATATCCGAAAAGTAATTCGCTCTCTGTACTTGTTTTATCCAGTACTCCTCAGCTTCTTGGATCTCCAATACAGTAAGAGGACCTTCTTCACAGACACGTTTTCTTAGCTTGGCGACAAACCGCTTTACCCAAGCTGTAACTCTCAACAGTTTTTCGAGACTGCTGAATTTCTTAATGTCTAACGCATTTTCTTCTTCTGGAATAGTCACCTGAACATAAGTGCTTAAACGTTCCAAATTTTGAGTATCAGTTTCTACTTTAAACTTCTGCTCAGACCATTGATCTTTAGAATCTTTCAACCATGAGGGACCATACCACCAGTTATTATCTTTCACCAATGCATTTGCTGTTTCACCACGAGTTAATTTATCTGCTGGGTTTTCCGACCCTGGACAATATTTCCATTAATCAGGCGAGGTACAGTCTTGTATTTCTGCAACTCTATTCGACACGAACTGCTTCCACTCACGCGCTGACCCCTTTATCCACCACAAGCAAATTTCGGAGTCCGTCCACAGAACTAACCTACCTACCAAATCCTGAAACATTTTCAATAAATATTTCCCTAACCTAGCTGCAACTACAGCCCCCATCAATTCCAACCTAGGGAGGGACAACTTTTTTAACGGAGCTATCCTACTCTTCGACATTATAAATGACGTACATACCTCTCCTCTCCTCATTCTTATATCTAAAATATGCCACCGCTCTATATGCCACTACTGATGCATCACTGAAAATATGAATTTCAACCGACTGACCTTTACTTAGAACTTCTGTAAAGTAGTACCTCTCTATTTTCAACGCGTTTAATTCCTCAATTTCAGCGCACCACCTTATCCATTTGCACCGTAACTCCTTTGGCAACTCTGCATCCCACTCCAAACCTCTCTCCCGTATTTCCTGCATTAGTCTCTTAACTCG